TGGTCGCGGGTCGGGGGTGGGGGCCGGCGTAAGTGCTCGCGTGGACGCGGAGCCGGGTCCGCGCTGCGCGGGTTTGGGGCAGGAAAAGTTTCCCAAACTGCGAGAGATGAGGTTTAAAGCATCACGATACACGCGCTCCCCGGCCCCGTGGAGCTGGCGAGAGCCTGGAAGCACGAGCCCTGCTTGTCGCCGACTCGCGAGATGGCCTTGGCAGGCGCCCTCCCTTCCGTGAGCCTCGGTTTCCCCATTTGTAGGGACGAAGTTTGGTTCCCGCGGTGGAGCCTGGTGCCCGAGCCCGAGAGCGGCGGGGCGCGCTCTTGACCGCCGCGCTCCCCGCACCTGTTCACCGGCTCCGGGCCTGCGACGCGGGGGGCGCACACCCGGGGTTTTGCGGAAATCGGAGACTTTAGTGGCCCCCAGACTCGGCTCGTATCCCGGGGCCTACTAGGGCCCTCGAGATAGCCTGAGCCGCAACCCCCAGGAAGTGCGCCGTTGGGCATCTCTTTGCTCCTGGGCATCTCTTTGCTGGGTAGCTGGCATCGCTTTGGGAGAGTATTTGACCCATACAGCTTTAGATCCAACGAACAGGGCAGGGCCGGGAGTTCCGGTCCCGCAGCAACCTGGTCTCGGGCTCCCGTCTATACGGCGCCTATGATGTGCCCTCCAGCCGCGCAGCGCTGTCCCCTCCTTCACCCGCCACCGACTGCTGCTGTTACCACCCCGTCTGCAGCATTCGCCCTTCGCCCTCTGAGGCTTTTGGAGATGACCTGGCTCAAGGTCTTCCGCGTCCGAATCGCAGAACCAGACTCTGAACCCGGGTGCCGGGCTCTCAGGAGCATCCTGAGGGCCCCCATCTTTCTCCCCAGGGTGACCGCCATTTCGTTCTCCGTGAAGGGCCCCCTACTCAAGGTCACACGCTCTGGACACGCCGGGAGGCCTGCTGTCTCCACCAGCCTTTCGCATCTCTTTCCTGACCCCTCCCGCTGCTCAGGCTGGTGTTGGGGCTCTGTGAGCACCTCATCAGTGACCCCTCTTCTTTGATCTGCTGGTGTCCAGGACTGTCACTTGTTCTGACAATAGCGCCCTCATCCCGAAGTTTCATTTTTGTTTCTGCTTCACTTTCTATTATATATTTTCTCTAAAGCCATCTCAAAGCCTCACAGATAAAAGAATTCAGGGAGAAAGGAGCCAAACAGTAAGGTTCCCATTAATTCGAGCCACACGACAAACAGGCAGAGAGTGAAAACAAGGACCACTGTCACTTTGGTGTATTATCTTTAATGAGCTAGACTTACACCCACGTTTTAGACAGTCATTGGCCCTTCCTCCCAGCCTAAGTGGAAAGCCAGTGTCCTCTAAAAATAGCCTCCGCCCCTCCTTATCAGGGTCTCACACCTTCTCCCTCCTCCAGGGTGGAGTAGTTTCCTGCAGCTCAGCAAAAACAGAAAACTGAGAATAGGTAGAGGCAGCTCTGAGCAATGGAAGGTGGATTGGCCTGGAGGATAGGACACCTAGCTCCAGGCCCAGCTCTGCCAACCACTCAGAGTGACCTTGAGAAGTGAGGAGGTAGACAGGATGGTGTCAAGTGGACCTGGAATCAAGACAGCTCTGAGACTTCCTTGGAAGACTTTTCAGCATGAGAAAAGTGAAGGGCTAGGGATGGAATCTGGGGGACCCACCCTGTGAAGAGGAGTCGGGGAAGAAGTGGGAGAAAGTGGCTTTTCAAGAGCCAAGGGAGGAGAGAGGTGGGCAGTGCCATTGCTGCAGAGACAGAAGGGGGTGAGGGCTGGGAAGGGGCCATCGGAATTGGCAGGGGTCATGGGTCATTGACTTTGGTCGGGGCATTGTAGAACATTCACAAATGGCTTCTGCCAGTGACCCAGGCTGTCCGTCTGAGCCTCAGTTTCCTCCTCTGTACAGTGGGGATAACGATAGTACCCATTTCATCTGGGCTGCTGTGTGAGTGACACAGGGTTAGGGTTAGGGTATCTTGGGATGATAGTGTTAGTGAGGGGCAGAGACAGAGCTCATGGGAGCTGAGGAAGTGGAGACACCACCTGCAACTCTTTCTAACAGCTCGGATGGAAAGGAGGGGAGAGGAAGGCAGTAGGAGCCCGGGACAGGGCACAGGGGGGAGGCCGGTGCTTCTGGGATGAGTAGTGTGATGAGGCGGAGAAGGACCCAGGATCGGGGAAGAGAGTTAAAGGAAAATCCAAGGGCTGTGCCCATGGTGAGACTGAGGGCTTTCCTTGAAGACCTGCTGAAAGCCACAGACTCTGCAGGTGGCCTTCATCCCCTGGAACCAGGTTGAGCAAAAAAAAAAAGGGGGTAAAATGAAGCAGGTTCTGGCTCAGCCCCCTGTGTCTCCCCTGGCACACTTCAGCATCTGCCAAGGAGAGTGGTGGCGGGCCATGAAAGGTGCTCTGACCCTGCCCAGGAGCTTTGTGACCTTGGCTTGCTTATTCCCAAAATGACATCATCCATGACAACTCCTCCTGAGTCCAGTCATAATGGCCTTTTCCAGTCAATGTTTTGATTTTTCAGTCTTACTAATGGACCAGACGGGCTGCCAACATTTCCAAAGAGGCCAGTTCACTCTTCCCTTAAAGCCAGAACACCAGATAGATCAATTATTTGGCTGTTAGGAGCCATTATTAGTTTAAAGCCACAGCCTGTTTCTATGGAAAAGCATGAATCAGCTAGCACAATTCTGGGGCCATTTCCTCTCTTGGTTTGTTTTATAAAATCTTTGGTTAATCATGATAGGACCTGATTCTCTTCGCTCTTAATGAAAACATGAGCTCATTGGAGTCAACCTAGGACACGGTCTGGGAGGTTTTCTTCAGTGTTATGAGGTGCTGGGTCCTTGTCTGATCTAAAAAACTAAGCAAATTCAAGCATTTCCTTTGTTTCTCCTTCTCTTACATCCTTTTATTTTTCTCTGGGAGAAAAAAACGGATTTGTGAAAGGGCTGGACATTACCATGCATCAGGAGGAAAGAGGGAGGTGGGGGACACAAGTCCCACCCCAAGTCCCTGTCTCATTTAATCTCTGCAGGGTCCCCAGCCACCACTCCCTCTGAGGCTTCAGGATTGGTGACCCCAGGGCCATTCCTAGAGGTGATTCTGTTAGGTGATGAGTTGTGACCACTGGGGTGTTTGCTGTCCACTCCCAAGGAACCAAGGGAAGCGGAAAAGCCCTTTGCCCCCACTCAACCTCCTTCGTGGACTCAGCTCTTCTGCCCGTCCCTTATATGTCGGCACCACTCTTAACCCTATTCTCTTTTTACCCCATGCCCTCTCACAGTCTCTTTCTCTCCATGGCTCCAGTCTCCCCACAACTCCCAATTTCTTGTGTCCAGCCTGGCTAGCTCTCCTGAGCTCTAGGCATCTGTGACTCCTGCCTATCAGGCAAAGCCAATAGAATGCCCCAAAGGCGCTTCAAACCCAGCAGGCCCAGATTCAGGCCCATCACCCAGTCCTCCTCCGTGTCCACCATCTTGATTACCAGTAACATCATTCACCCAGGCACCAAGCCTCCCTGCTCTTTACCACCACGTTCATGTGGGCACTGAGTCCTGTCAACTCGTCTTCCTTAGTATCTTATATCCATTCTATCCCCACATCCACTATCCCAGTTGAGGACTTCACCATCTCTCCCGAGCTCTCGTCAAAGATTGTTAAAGGTCTTTCTGCCTCAAGTCGTTTCTTCTTCTGTGGTGCTGTTAAAAGATATCCAGGAAGTATAACTGTGACTGTGTCAATTCTCTCCCTTCAGGGACTCCCCATTTCCTACTATATAAGGACCATATTCCTCAGCATCTAAGATCTGAACCCCAAGCTAATTCTCCAAAATCATCTCTAGGCACTCCTGCAAATTGCCCTTAACTTGTGGTCATGGCACAAGCATACTGTGCCCCCCTGTCTTAGCCCCACTGTTTCTTCTGCCTGGAATGCCATTCTCCCACTTCTCAGCCCTGCGAACTTGTAATCATCCTTTAAAGCAAAGCTCCTCATTGCCTCACCTGTGCCCCCACAGTGCCCTTGCACTGATCTCAGAGCACCAGCCACAGGGTGTTCGAATGGCGTCATCTGTTGACATATCTTTATGGCTAGACCGAAAGCTTTGTGAGGACAGGGTTTATGGCTCATTTTCTTCTTCCTCCATGTCTAGCTCAGAGCTCAGTGCTTGACATAGCACGGGTACTTTAGATTTTAATAAATGACCGATCATTGAATGAATGAGTAAAAGAGTGAGTAAACACTCTCATAACTGTGACAGTCACACAACACTAACCAGCACTTAACTTGTGGTCATGGCACAAGCATACTGTGCCCCCCTGTCTTAGCCCCACTGTTTCTTCTGCCTGGACTGCCATTCTCCCACTTCTCAGCCCTGCAAACTTGTAATCATCCTTTAAAGCAAAGCTCCTCATTGCCTCACCTGTGCCCCCACAGTGCCCTTGCACTGATCTCAGAGCACCAGCCACAGGGTGTTCGAATGGCGTCATCTGTTGACATATCTTTATGGCTAGACCGAAAGCTCTGTGAGGACAGGGTTTATGGCTCATTTTCTTCTTCCTCCATGTCTAGCTCAGAGCTCAGTGCTTGACATAGCGCAGGTACTTTAGATTTTAATAACTGACCGATCATTGAATG